CCCCAGCGTGTCTCTGCAGCCCCCGGAGCCGGGGCGAAGGCGGGCGCGGGGCAAGCCGGGCCGGAACCATGAACCGGAGTTTCCACAAGTCTCAGACCCTGCGCTTCTACGACTGCAGCGCCGTGGAAGTCAAGAGCAAGGTGAGCCCGGGCTGGCGGTGTGCGCCCCCCGCGAATGAATGGGCTCCCCGCGGGGCGCGGGGCGGGGCGGGGGCGCGCGGGCGCCGTCTGGGAGGCGCAGGGTCCCGACGTCCTTCCCGCCCCTCTGCGGACACAAAGCCCGCAGACCGGCGGGGTCGCGGCGCCCGGAGGGCCGGGGCCGTCCGCCCGGTCGCGCGGGCTCCGGACCCTCCGCGGGAGCGACCCTTTTGTTCCAGGAGCGGGAGGCGCCCGGCACTGCGCGCGGCAGCGGGGCCTCGGGGGCCCGGGCCGGGGGCGGGCCCTGGCCGCTCTGCCTGCTTCCCTGTGGAGAAGCCTCGGAGCCGGCGAGGGGAGGACCGCAGCCGGCCCCCGGCGCGCCCCAGGCCCAGCCCCCCCGGGCGCGCCGGGCCGACGGCTCCCCCCGCTGCCCGCGCCCGGCCCGAGCGTGCCCGAACTTGCGGGCGGCTTTGCGCCTTTGGGTTCCTGGCTGATAGGATCTGGCGCTTCTGCTCCTTGCGGGGGCGGTTCCTTCTCCCCAGACGATTTTGTCTGCAAGGGTCTTTGTGGGGGACCCCAAGGGCAGAGGAGGAGCTGCAGTTGTTTGGGGTCCTGGAGAAGGGGGCCCCTCGGGCCTTTCGCTGACCGCTGCCGGGAGCCGGCCCTGCCTGTCTCTGCGCCCGCTGCCCGCGGTACAGCGAGGCGGAGCCGCCTAGTGCTGGGAGGGCGGGGCGGGAGGATGGGCTCGGATCCCACCTGCGCGCACTCCGGAGGCGCGGAGCGGGTGGACCCTGACGGGTCTCCGGGGAGACGAGTCCAGCGGGCCGGGCACCCGAGCTGCTCCTTCCGGCGCAGGGGGTGGGGGGATCCTCTGTTGTGGGATTCCAGGGCATCCGGCGGGGCTGTGGGGGGCGGGGATCGAAACTGCAGTGAGTTGCAGGATTTCGTTCTCATCTTCGCTCCTCACGGATTATTTATGAACCCCTAGTTTTTAATAAGGTCGCACCGTTCAGCCGGTGATAATTCTGGGACCTCGCTCCCGCTTTAGCCCGGGAGTGCCCCCACCCCACAAATCACATGTGCCTGCCGAGTCGTGTGGGAGGAGAACTGCCAGGCATGCGTGGGGTTTCCACATAATTGTCTGTTTCTGTAGCTCATTGTCCACTACAATAGCCACTGAGCACGTGCGGTGATTCACTTTTTTACTTTTCAACAATTTGGAGATCATAGATTCCCAGACAGTTGTGGGAAAAAAATACAGAGACTCCTCAAAGGTTGTGACATCAGTGTCAGGCCCAGGGCCTCAGCAGACGTTGGCATGTGCTGAGATCACCACTTTTGTCGTGTGCACATTCCTGCAACCACCAGCACTGTCTGTCGGGAGAGGATCACTTCTGTCCCAGTGGCTCCTTGACTATAAGTACACTGACAGACGCTGGCATGAAATGCCGCCCCTCAGTTGCCCTAGCCACATTCCCGCTGCACAGTGCAGCTGCCTGATCAGATGCACAGCTCCAGGGGTACAGCTGGAGGAGACGCCCTTCCCTGGCCTCCACCGGCAGCTCTGGGCTGCTGGCCCCGTGCAGGCCGCTGGCGGCTGAGAGGATGGGCCTGTCTTTGTTTTTCCTTGGGGACTGGGGGCTGTGGGTGTGTTGGGGCCCAGTGGGGCACCTCAGGCCACCCTGATCCTGGGTTCCAGTTTACTTGCTGTGAACGCTCCCCTGGAGGTTGAGTAGCAGAGCTAGAGTTTTAGTTGCATTTGGGATCACCCCTGGAAGGGCCGCACCGCCCCGCCCTTGCCAGGCTGGCTGGTTCTGTAGCCCCTGCCCCTTTGGAAGGATGAACTTGCCTTACTGTTTGTCCAGAGGGCCCTACGTGGCTTTTCCCTCCGTAACACTCTCCCCCGACCCCCGGAGCAGGGAGCCTTTACTCCTGTTGTCAAAGTACAGGATGCCAAAGTTTATGACAGTGATGTGTTTCTCTGACCTAAGCGTGGCACCATAACACATGGGTTTGTATGTAGGGGGTTGAGTCCAGGTGGTTCTGCCTTCCACCACCCTTGTGAGCTTTCAGGCAAGTCATTTAGCTTTTCTGAGCCTCAGTTACTCGTCCGTGAAATGGGCATGGCCCTGTTCTGCTCACCTCCCAAGATCAAATGAGGTGGTGGGTATGAAAGTGCGCAGCACCCACAGTCGTAAGAGCTTTGCGCTGCGGCTCAGGGTTCTGCTGCATTTCAGAATAGTGGGTCTGACAGTCATCTCTGATTCTCAGAATAGTTGGCATCAGCCATCGGGCAGCTGGTCAGTTCCCAAAGCCTTGGGGACGTTATCTTGACCTGGTCAAGTCGCCTCCTACACTTCCCCAAACGTTTCTGCCTTACTCCCTGCGCTCCCTTGACTCCTGACCCTGGGGCCACCGTTCCCACACCTACTTTGACTTCAGCCTCTGCTCTGGAGACCTGCAGTGGGAGGGGAGGGGCTGTGCAGGTGTCTGGGGAGCGTGTTTCGGGCCAAAGGGAGCAAGTCTTGGCCCACCAGAAGGCCGCAGGAAAGCCAGTGCTGAGGGAGGGTCTGCAGGGGCGGAATAACTGGGAACAACTTGTCATTTGAGGAAAAGACAGAAAGTGACACAGTGACCCTGAGAATCCGGCCTGCCTTTAACTACATTAGTCGTTAATGGTCAGCCTCACCAGTGTCTGCACGGCCTGAAATCGGCAGGAACACAGTTATCCCCTCAGCAGTGTGCCCGACCCGGATCCGCCCTCTGCTTTGGGGCAGCTTCCGCACCCACACTGGTCTCATCCAAGGTCCCTTGCCGCTCCCGAAATGCTTTGGCTAAGAGTTTTCCCGTCCTGCCGACCTTCTCCTGCAAAGCCCACCCCTTGGCTTCACCGGGCCGGCTCGCTCTGCCCTCTGACCCCGTTTCCATGTTTCCCTCATCCTAGGGCCCTTGTCACAGTGCTGGCACAGGCTTCTTTTTCAGAGCAGGGGCCCAGGACCGTGTTCGCACTCACAGGGCTTGTGGCTATTGTGTTTGGGGGAGAGTAGCACTACTGAAGATTTTAATGCAGGTTTTGCTGCTTTGTTTAAATAACATTGGAGGCTTGTTTGGATTCTAAACACATTGTCCATTGGAGACATACTAGAAACCATTTCAGGCGCAAAGGCGGGTAATTCTCCTCCTGTCCAGGGTGAGCCCCGTGCAGGGCTGCCCCATGTCCCCCCAACCCTTTTCATGCACTCATCTTTGTTTTACAGAATCAGGGTCAGATTTTGTAGGCATGTTATTCTGTGGCCCACTTTCCCCCTTCAAATCAACAGTGTATTGCAAGTGTTTTCTTCAGTTGTAAATATTTTTAGAAAACATTTTAAAAATGACTACATAGTATTCCATCTTATGTGTAAACCATAATTAATGTAACCGATATCTCATTTGGGTTATTTCCAATTTTCTCTATAATAAACAGTGTTGTGAAATAACATCTTTATATTTAATTCCTTATATAAATGTATCATACAAAGTATGTAAAAAATACCGATTTTATTAATGCAGTGAAGAACTCCAATGTCTTTAAGTCACATTCCTTGAAGTGAAATTACTGGGTGAACAGTCTGCATGTTTTTCAGGCTTTGAATACATGTGGCTGATTTCTCTTACAGAAAGCCTCGGCTGCTGGCTTCTACGCCCTGTTCCGTGTCTGTCCCCCGTCTCACTCCCCTCCCTCCAGCGCCGGTTTTCTGCTTCTTGCACAATCAGATCAGTGAAATGCTGTCCCAAAGCCGTGATGTGTACTCTTGTGTAGGTGAATTGAACGTTTTCATGTCTGTGTCTTCCCTGCCCCTTTTCTTCTGTGTGTGCTCGTTTTTTTCTGCGTTACAGAGCTGCTGGTCCAGTCAGTGCAGGTGCTGGTAAGTCCGCGTGTCCCCCTGGTCCCCCACCTTGCCTCTGGCTGAGGTTGCCGGCTGCCTGGACATGTACGTCTGTCAGGTGGGATGGCTGGGCCCTTGCCTTCTGCGGGCCGGTTGAGAACCGCCTGACACGGTTTGACTCACCTGTGTGTGTCGGCTACACCCTTTTAAGGTTCCGGTTTTCTTGTATCTGTGCATGTCTGTGTTCAAACAGGTTCGGTGACTTGATTTGGGAAGTTATACCTATAGGAGACTACTCAGGGACCCAGGTGGGGACGTCAGTTCGTGGCCACTGAAGGTGTCACTGACAACCTCTGTGGCCTGTAAGCATCAGAAAGCCCTATGGCCCTCCCTGGTGGCACCTCAGCTGGTCAGGGGTTCCAGCCCATTCCGGGGACACAAGGTGTCTCAGGTTCTCCCAGTTTTAGGGAAGGGAAGGACTGTCAGGAACTGGAAGATGCAACCATCAAGGTGTCAGAATTTCTAACGTTTATGAATCGCGTCCACAGTGAACGAAAACCTTTCCCACGAAGGACCTCCTGGACCTTTACAGGAAGCGGGAGGGGCTGGGAATGACGACAGCAGAAGCGTCCACGACAGGTGGTTCGGGGTCTTGAGGGGTCTGGGTGTCAGATTTGTTCCGTTGACATGTTTACTGGCCCCCGGTTTCCTTTTGGCAGATTTCCGCTGTAAGCCTGGGGCGCGGTGGGAGCTGCTGTGCCTCCTTTAGCTCAACACACACCCTGTAGCCCTCCTCTGAGGCTGCCCCTGGGTGTAGAGACGGTTCACAAGTATTTCTTACAATCTGTTTAACCGCCCACCCCAATATGTGTATTTATATGCCAGACACTGTTCTAAATACACTGCGATTGCAGATAATAGTTCATTAATCCCTATCACAGCTGTGCGCTATGGGTTCCGTGGTCACCCCCATTCCATGGGAGACAACCCTGAGATCTGGGGGTCTCACCAAGCCACCCGCGGCAGCCTGGCTCCAGAGCCCATGGGCTTCTCCCCAAGCTCTCTGCGGCCCCTGCTGGAGGAGGGCTCCTGACCGCTCCCCCCACGCAGCCGTGGAGGCCCCAGCCCCTGCTG